TCTGTAATGGAATACATTTTAAAAGTAACCTTCCCAACACTGCTGATCTTTATATTTCAGCCTACCACTAACATTTGTTTGTATTATTTCTGTACATCTTGGTTTGATTGCAAAGCATTTATAGGGAATGACATAATCACCTCTTTCATCCTCACTACTGACCATTCAAGGTTACATTAAACACTGTCACTATAAAACCTGTTTTGCAATCATACCTAATTATAAATTAGTGTATACAGTTTAACACATTGAAAATAATTAGTTTCCATACTTGCACAACATCCATGACTATTCCTGCTGCCACCATTCCCAGACCAGACACCAGGTAAGGCAGCAGGATTTGGGCTGCAATGATCCACGAGTTCTCTGGCAGGAAGCTGCGGGCTGAGCGGGTTAGTTTGCACTTGAAGCCCCTTAGCTTCTTCCCCTGGAAACGAAACTCCAGAGCCAGATGGGTCACCGCCATGGCTGATCCCTGTTAACCCATCCCTGCCTCGAGCTGAAGTGTTTCTAGCGAGGAGAGTCCACAAACTCAGCTTTCGAGCTGAATCCGTGAAGGCTAGTTTGAAAAGAATGTAACGATCCACTTAGAGTAAGAAGTTACAACCAGGACAGAGAAGATTTCCTTTTTCCAGATTGTTAAGTTCTTGTGACAAAAATCCAGGCTTGCCGTTAAGTCACAGGTGATGAAAAACACAGGTGATGAAAAACAACGCTTAAAGAAGAAGTAAACAGTGCTTTGCCCTTCACCTGTCACTCCAGGACTGGCAGGGCAGCAACACAAAGTGCTTTTGCAAATGGTGGACTAGCCAGAGGAATGGAAACTTTCATCTACTTGAATGGACACACACACACTCACACAATCACACAGGACCACTTGACAGCAGGTCTGCCAGGCCTCTTCTGACACTGTGCTACTGACAGACCATCACACACGCGCACACACAGACACACACACACTCTCCAGCCACGCACATGCCCCCCGTCTTTCTCTCCTCACGCCTCACTCTTCAGCAGCCGGGCGGCTGAGGTGGAGCGCTGGAATCCCGGCCTCTCGCGGGGCCTGAAGAAGGTCCAGGTCCTGTGAGACAAGGACATCCAGAAGGCCAGCAGCTTCTTCTCAGCCCTACTGCGCTGCCACTCCTTCTCCCTCTCTATCTCCTCGCTGTCGTGCTGTTGCTCTGTGTGAGCCTCACTGCTTTGGAGCACCTTCTTCATTTTAATCTGTGGGACGCCGCGGTGTCGGCCTAGGCTGCGCTGATGGACGGTCTGACGTCTGAGGCTTGTCTGAGGAGGCAGGGTGATTGTTGTTGTTCTTCTGGTAGGGCTTCCCTCGTCTTCCAGGTGGATCGATGAGTCGTGACGTTTTCTGTGATGGTGGCAGTCACAGAAAAAGTGCACACGAGTGTGTGTGTGCAGGCGTGATGATCAGAAAGATGTCTGAGTAGAAGCAGAAGTGACCAGGCTGTATCAGGACTCTTCTCTCCTCCTGGTCTGTTTCCAGATCAGTTCAGAGGAGACTGCAGATGTGCTCTCCCCCTCTTTGATAGCTCCTCCTTCTCCTCACACTCTGAGTGGGTGACGCACTCAGAGCAGCAGGTGCTGTACCTGTCACAGACACGTGGTGCTGCTGCTGCCTGCAGAGGATGCAGTGTATCCTCTGGAGGAAGCACACATGCTGCCACTAACTGATATTTACAGTCTGTCAGAGATCATTACGTCACACCTTCTTATGTCATTTGCTCTTCTGTGTTACACAAAGTAGTCATTAGCGGCGTATGGCACAGCGATAATAATCTGCTCTTTCTTCATGTGGATAAACTGCTGCTTTAGGTGGAACAGAAAGATGGAAATAGGACAAGTTCTGCAACTTTGTGTTTAAAAAGAGCATTTTTTTTTCCTCCCCTCTGTTCAAACTACAGTAAACATATTAAAATAATGTAAAACAGGAGAGCAGATGATGCAGACTGCTTTGTAAACGACATTGTCTCAGACACACGTACATGAGGACAGTGACTCAGCTGAAAAGTGTCCTTGAGACATGACTTGGTGCTCCACTCTCTACAGCTCCCCCTTCTGACTTCTTCCTGTACTTCGAACAGTGAAGCAACAGCTGCTAAACACTGAGCTGTAACTAAAATAATCTTCTTGAGCATTGCTTTTTGGCATCACCTCACATCTCTCTGTTTCACTAACGCACCAGCAAAACACCAAAAGGCTTTTCTAGATCCCGGAGCTCATATTACATTTCAAATAAATCTCAAAAGGGCCTGTTGCCAAACACAGAGGCAGCTTCAGTCCACATTTCAATGTCAGTGGTGATTCACTGCACCTCTTCCTCTCAAAGTTTGGTAGTAAATTTTATGTAATAAAAAGGAAACAGTAGGAAAACAGTATCTATCCCATAAATGTTAGAAATACTGAGGACTCTGGCTGGATGCTAGATTCACTTTTAAAACCAACGTGGAACATCTATCAAAAAGTTAAAGACATGTATCTCACTCGTCATACAATCCACTGGATTATGGTAAAACTGTGTATATGCGTGCCTTTACATCTACCCAGAAGCATGCAGATTATGTGTATCACTGTGCATTGAGTGCTTTAGTGTGCTTTACCACAGGTGTTTCTTTCCAATCATTGTATCTTCTATGAATAAGGCAGATGGTTCTCTTTAGTGAAGACAACAGAGAGCATTGTATGACATTCATTCACAAGCCTGTAATTTTTATCTCTGCTCTCTGATTACATATAAAAATATCACTCACAGTGTGTAGCCACAGCACATTGTAACATTAGCAGCAGGGCTTAGTCATAGCATAATGTCCCTGATATAAATTGCTAGGCGATATAAAAATCATACTGCAATGTCGTTGCTATAGCAACACAATACTTTACATTTTGACCTTTTTGCTAAAAGGTTAGCAAAAAATAAGTAAAGAAAATAAAAAGCATGAATTCTGACTTGTAATAAATATAACATTTCTGTAACAAAATTACAACATTTATTTAAGATAGAATTCATTACATGTTTTTATTTATTATTGAAAGCTTCAGGTTTCTACAGTACGAAGGAGTATCAGGACCACATTAAGAAAAGAAAAAGGACAAAATGTTGAGAAAAAAGTTGAAATGTAGAGATTATAGTTGTTGTTTGAAAACAAACTGCCACAGTTGCTATTCCTCGGAGTCAGCGAAATCATACTTCAGAATCAGTTTTAGTAACGAGGAAGGAAATGATTTCCCTTTTAGCACGTAAACATATTGTGGTGATCAGTATAAGTGCTGTGAAATGATTTAGCAGAAAGAAAAACACAAACTCACAAGAGTGGATTCGTACAAAATGAAATGACTGGCAATGGACAGATACACCCTCGTGCAGTAAAGAGGATGTATGTTGTGTCACAAATTCATCTAAACAAGGTATTTTGTAGAGGGTACAGCAAACGTGGCAGTTTGTCTTGACACAACAATGGTAATCTCCACATGCTGACTTTTCTCAAAATAGATTTTCCACTTTAATTTCGACTTTATTCTCAAACTGATCAACAATATTTTCTTCTTAATGTGGCCCTAATACTCTGTTGTACTACAGATTTACAATATAACAGGAAAATGTGAAAGTTGTTTAAGAGGCCTAACCCTGCCTAATGTTTTTTTATCCATATACACAACTTTCAGTTGTTGGCGTGTTCATGGGTAATTGCAAATTGCTTTCAAGCCTTATTTACTTCCCATAGGTCAAGGTCACTTCATAGTTGGTCATGGTGACCTCCAAATCTATCATGAGCTCACAGCTCAGTTACTTCACCTGAGATAAGCTTGGACACGTCACAGTGTAGTTCAGATTACTTACCAAGTTTTTGTCAGAATTTTTTATAATGTAATTTTAAAGATGGGTGTGATGATACTTAATAACCTTGTTGTGATCATTTCATTCAAAGATTTGGGAAAACACACAAGAGCAATAAGCCCAACTGTTTTATTCTAACTTCAGTCATACAAACCTAAGAAACTTGCTAAAACTCACCAATCATTTCGGTGCAGATCACACCTGCTAGTTCAGACCTGCAGTGAAGTGAGGAACAAAAACAATACTTTCTACTGACTTTTTGGGTGAGGAGAATGAATTCAATGCTTTATCAGACTGTACTAGACCTGCAGCTACCCTGTACAGAACAACACTGTCATAGTTCTTTGATTCAGCAGCTGGTGTGTTACTGACCTGCACACAGTCTAGCAGCATACCAGCCGTCACCATGCCCAGCCCTGCCAGCAGGTATGAAGGCAGCACCTGAAGGCAGATCACCCTTGATGACTCTCTGCAGGAAATGTGAAGTTTTGGCTCCTCCATCTTTTCAGGACAGGACAGCTATACAGCTTCTAAGATCGATGTTTGTTCTGCAAAGCTGCCAATGATCAGTGCTCACACAATCCAAACTGCTGCCAACCAGAAGAGGCCAAAGCTGTTTGAACTTCAATCGGTCAACCTGTCCTCCACATTTCTCTGTGATAAACGCAGGTATCTGTGCTAACGTGTTTTCAGTTGTTCTATCTAGCAGAAAAACACGTGATTTGTTCTGGTTTCTTTGGTTTAATCTATAAAAAAATGCCATTGATAACATAGTTTGACAGTTATAAAATAGTATTTTTGAAACAACAAATTGTCTACCAAAGAGCTACTAACCAAAACTTATAAGAGTCAACATGTTTTGCAGTATGTATGCAAGCAATTTTGCACAAACTGGACAAGTGGAAGACTAAAAGAACATGTGACAAACTATCTACAGCAGAAGAACAGTAGCAAGTCATAAGAAACTGGAAAAAAAAAATTCAGCAAAGACCTGAGACAGTACATGCGTGATGCATCTCACCTTTCACCTGATCCATCTAATTTTGCTCAGTCCTCATCAGAAATGATCTGTAGGGTCTTAAGTCGTCATACGTAAGGATGGGAAATGGGGAGAAAAGACTGATCAATGCTTAATTACACAAGAACTGGACTGAAAATTGGTGCCAACCAGTCTGATGGAGCGATTAGTCCAAATATAAAAGTTCTGGTTGGAGTTATTGTCAAAATTGAGAAAATTATAAATGCGAGTACCATGATATCTGGAAACTGTCAGATTGACAGGGATTTTATTTTTCAGCATAACAAGAATCACAAACAAATGGTCAAAGAAAAAGCATACGTGGATAGACAAACACAGCGTGGACCACTAAAAGTCATGCATTGGCCTCCCAGAGCCAAGAACTATTGTGGGATCATCTTGACAAAGAAAGGAACAAAAGGCAGTCAACATCCAGAGAGGAGCTTTGAATGTTCTTCCAGAAGCCTGGAGAACTTTTCCTGAAGACTCCTTCAAGAAAGCACAAAAAGAGAAGTTCAGTCTGTATTGAACAATAAAATTAAGGACTGTCGTTTGCCTAGCTAAATGTAATAACAAGAGGGGTGGTAAAAGCTATTTTTACAGTACTGTAATACAACTTTTAACTACTAGCTCTAATGCCATCATCATCTCTCCTTTTAAGTCTGCCAATGGCACTGTCCATCTTCATACATAAATATATGTAATATGTTGGAGTTCAATGTATCAATGGCTAGCTGGTGCTGCTTAATTCATCACCATGCTATGTCTGATATAAGCCTATTTTCCCACATAACAAAAAACAAACAACCTTAATAAATAAGTCTCGTCTGCAGCTCCCGTTACCCCTACCAGGTTTGCAGGGGGGCTGCAGTCTATCTCAGCTATCACAGGGCGAGAGGTGGGGTACACCCTGGACAGGTGGCCAGTCTATTGCAGTAAGGTTACCCAAAACTAAAAAATGGGCCTTTTTCAAGAAAACAAAAATGGATTACCAATTTAAAACTGTTCTGCAGCAATGAAGGTTGATCAAGTCTTGAAAGCTGGTGCTACTAATTCCTACAGGTGCTCCAACTTTTCTGGATGACTCACTCCTCTGTCTGCATAAAAGCAGTGTTAGAACACACTGTGGTATCATACCCTTGTGAGCATCAGTTGAACACTATTGTACTGCAGAAAGTAGTGTGTTGATACAAAAATGGCAAGAAAAAGGCAATTAACAGTGGAAGAGAGACAGACCATCATAACACTTAAAAATGTAGGTCTTTTCTACAGAGAAATTGCAAAGACATTCAAGGTGTCAGTGAGTACAGTTCCTTCACCATCAAACAGCACTCAGAAACTGGGAAACTCTGACAGGAAGAGGTCTGGCAGACCCAAAGCCACAACTGAATCAGAGGACAAGTTTCTGAGAGTTAACAGCTTGTGTGATAGGCGGCTCACAGGACAAGAGCTTCAAGCACAGCTTCATAGTGGTCGTAGTAGCAAGTCTCAGTTTCAACTGTGAAGAGAAGCCTTCGAGCTGCAGGTTTGACAGGACGAGTTGCAGCAAGAAAGCCTTTGTTAAGATTTCAGAATAAGACTTGGCTTGCCTGGGCCATGAAACAACACCATTGGACTACTGAAGACTGGAAGAAGGTGTTATGGATGATTCAAAATCTAAATCCTCGGTTCATCACACAGGATCTTTGTAAGCCGTCGAGTAGGTGAAAGGATGGTTCCACAGTGTGTGGCATCAGTGTGATGGTCTGAGACTTTTTGCTGGATCCAGGGTCGGTGATTTGTACAGAGTGAGAGGCAGCCTGAACCAAAGCGGCTACCACAGCATTCTGCAGCATCCTGCAGTACCCTCTATGCACCTAGTTGGTCAGGGGTTCATCCTACAGCAAGATAATGACCCAAAACACGAGTCCAGCTATGACAGAACTACCTCAGGAAAAAAGAACAAGATGCTAAGCTTGAAAACATGGAGTGGTCAGCACAGGCTCCAGACTTAAACCACATCAAGCTGGTTTGGGATGAACTGGACAGAAGAGTGAAAGCAAAGCAACCTACAAGTGCCACATTTATGGGAACTTCTGCAGCAGATATGGGAAGAACTTTCTGAAGAATATTTGACTTCTATTGTAGAAAGAACACGGGTGTGTTCAGCTCTTATATCTGCCAAAGGCTACTTTGATGAGTCAAAGGGTTAGAATACATTTTGAACCATGATTTCTTTTTTTTAACTCCAATTACTTATTTGTACTCTGCTGAAACGAGATATTGAACTGCATAATTTTCAACAAACTGGAAAAATTGGGGTGTTCTAAAACTTCTGACTGGTAGTGTAGGTAAAAAAGGCATCATTGAAACCCGTCCTCAGCCAATACACAAAACAAACGTGAACTTTTCAACATTTTTTTTGAATCTCCATGACTGGTTATTTCAAGACTAGTATCACCATACACCAATCCAGTCCAAACAATCAGAAATTCCCCTTTTCATAGTGTTTTGCTGCTGCAGTATGTTTCACCATTTTTAAGCTTGTAAATATTTACTGTTTCAGGTCAGCAACTACAAAGAAACAAGACAGGCATTTTCAGAGAACAGAGACACCGTCCTTCCCTGTCTGCTATAAATAAACACTCTACACATCCCGTCCTCAGTTAGGGTCTCATGTTATATGTCAAGTGCTGAGATCAAAGGGTGTGAGCTACAAATTGGAGGTTATCGTCCAGATCTGTCTGTCAGTGGAGTCCCTTAGGCTGTTTATGGAATTATCTTCGCTAATTATTAACTGTTGGTGGCTTGCTATATCTTTATTAATACAAACCTCTCTAGAGTCTAGATAGAGAGATATAAAGAGGGTTTTTTATTTTCATTTTGGCTAAAGATGTCAAGTCAGCCTTCCCCTGGAATCTCTCTGGCATTTGGTGGCAGAGGTGGTCTCCTCTTCTCTGTCATATGGTTGCAGCTGGGTTCATAGCAAGTCCCGCATAGTGAACTAGGTCACACGCAAGAGACCTGCTCAACAACAAACACTGCTGTAAAGGTTTGATCCTGCTTGAACCAGTATAGCACAGAGCAATTTTAGATTTTAAGCATTTGAAAGATCATTTTGTCAAATATGTTTTGTGTAGAATTGGTGAATGCTTGTAGACTGTATGAGCAGTTTGTGAATGAAATGTTTGGGTTATGCATTGGTTGCTTTGTTTCTCAAGGTGTTTCAGTTGTCACAAACATGGATGGGGCTTCTTGGGAGAAGTCTTGGAACCAGCTTCAGTTCATGGGTGGCTCCAACAACGTATCCTCAACTAGAACCATCCGGCTACGGGACATTTATGATCCCAAACCTCAACCTCCCAAAGCCCCCGTCCGGATCCGCCCTCCAAGTCCAAGACCTCCACCCGTGAAGGAGCCCAGTTCAAGGCAAAGTTTTTCCAGCGATCCCTCAATCAAGACCATCATAAGGAGACGGGCTCAGTCTCTTCCATCGTCTGCAGAGCGCAAGAAGGAACTTAGGAGTGTACAGGTACGCTTTGTGGACTCACTGGGTCTTCAGTTAGAGGAAGTTAAGGTTTTCAAAGTTCAAGAGTGTCCCATTATACCCCAACATGTTATATTCAGGCTGCTGATGAGCTCTGAATTGGCTTTTGGGAAGTCCCTGGAGCTGTCACTGCCTTACTTCAAACCCTGTTTTCCTGAAAATATGGGTGCTCAGCCGGACTTCCTGACACGGCTGCACACACAGCGCGTGTGTCTTGAGCAGATCCTATGTTCAGAGCAGGGGATAACAGGCACCATACAAGTATTTAATGTAGCCTATGAGAAAGAAGTCACAGTACACTACTCTTTCACCAACTGGAGAACACACACAAATACAGCAGCATCCTGGCTATCGAGTGTATACCGTGAGGGGTGTGACTCTCCAGTGCTGGACGTCTTCAGGTTTCGTCTTCCTGTCCCACCGTTCGCTTTGCAGCCAGGGGCTAGCTTGGAATTTGCAATCTGCTACCACGTAAAAGGATCTGATTACTGGGACAACAACAACGGCAATAATTACAAACTTTCATGCCACAGCTACAAGGTGAGCGTGCCAAGGGAGTGTGAAGATAGCATGCTACATTTCACCTGAGCAACCACATGGACGCGTGGAGAGGATGACACTCTAAATCCTTTGCAGCCAAGCTTTACCTGTTATATTGCATTGTGTGGTGGACTGGATCTAAGTAAGCACAATTTCTAGGACTTTGCACTCAACCAGCTACTTTTAAATATTGCTAACATGCAAATTCTTCAGTTTATACCATCTACAAAAGAGCTAACATTAAAACCACCTGCCTCCAGTTATATAATTGTGCTGGGCAGTATCCAGGCAGAACACTGCATCTTAATAAGACAATGTTGTTTTTCACTTTATCTGTAATTCGTTTTAATGCTTTGTATGTTCAGTTACCGTTCAGAATGTCCATATTTTTCACAACATTTCAGCTCCATGTATCATTTTGGATGCTAAAATTTTGCTTTCACAGTAAGTCAAACAGCATGTCCTCCACCTCTGATGCACAAGTAACATTTTCTTGTGTGAACCAGTCATTTAGTAATTTTGTGCCAAATGTACTAGAAAGTGGTGTCTCAAAGGGCTGCTGTGAAATCTGAAAGAAGGTGCTGTGGGATTTTTAGAGCTGCTGACTAGCTGCTGCTAGTCCTTGATAAAGTTTTGAGCTATTGGGCTATTAAGAGGTACTCATTGTGAATTCCTGTTTTTAAAAATAGTTAAAATCAGATCGACAGAACACAAGGAAACAGCAGCTATGACACCAACTGAAGCTGAACTAGTGCCATGCTCAACTTTAGTGTAGTTTGTAGCTGAAGTGAAAGATGGCACAGTATGCAAACAGGCAAAGATTTTAAAACAGATTATTTTTCTATGCTGGTCTGGGAAAAGATCTCTTGAGGAAACTCGGTAGGTTTTGAGAGAGATATTAAATCTTTGAGACGACACACCTGCTGGTAAAATGCTCCCCAACGTCTACAGCTCTTCAGAGGTTTACAAATGAAACCTTAAAAACAGACAGTGGAATAAGATGAACATGAATATAACGATGCCATTCAATTTATCTGATCAGCTGTCTTGTGTGTGTTTTGGTGAATTTGGTTTTGTAATCTGAATAAAAAAGTGTCAATTGGCATAAATCCACATTGTTTGTGAGCTTATATTATAAAGTATTAAAAAAATAAAGTGTACACACTGGGCCGAGACAACCCTGATGACATCACCTTGTAACAAATCAACACAACCCGGTGAGTAAAATCTGTGCTGCTGCATTTGAAGTCTGGAAAAGATCTGCATGTTCCTACTGGGCTTTTATTTAGACAAAACCGCCGCCACCTCTGCACAAACGCACAAAATATTTTGCTCACTCTGCACTTTAACAAGTCTGGTGACCCATTTTCGTGACTGACAGTCTGAGTCGTCGCATCTTAATGCAGAAACTGCACAAGTTGATAAGAACCTATTCTCTGTGCTGATTTCACACAGACGGCGTGGATGTCGTGAGCTACTGGCTACACATAAGCAGCTTGTGCACTTTCTGCTTGACCCCATTCCTCTGGAGATCATTTTGTTGTAGGGAGGGCTTTAGATCCCAAACAGTGCTGACCTTTGACCAAGAAGTTTCCATAAATATGAGAGCACAGATTCCAGAGCACTTTCTGGCAGGCGGTGGTGTTTAGCTCACAGGAGGATATGTTTCCACCTGCATTAGTCGCCACAGCTGTGTGGCATGCTTTACACATGACAGCAGCTATGAGATGTGACCTCACAGAGCATATCAGGCAGGCATTTAAATACACCTGAGTATTTCCTTCTCCTGTTTCTTCACATTAATCTGATTAATGGATTTACTTTCTAGATCGTGCACTGTGGTTAATATGATTCTGCTGAAACAAGTGGAAAACATAATCCATACAATACATATTTATGTATATCTTAAACGAGACCTAATATGAATTTCTTTATTTTTCGTCATATACATACTGTATGATGTTACAGCGGTTCATATTTAAAAAGGATTCAAAACAGAGCAAGGTAACGTTTAAATTTTCAGTATAAAAAAGCAGGCTGCAGATTTTTGGAACAATCGTCATGTCTCATTATCTTCTATGTGATTTGTAAAATGTCTGAAAGCGCAAAAAATGCCAACCACTCCTCATTTACTCACACCAGGGAATGCTGGTATTTTTGTGGGGCACTAGATGGCGCAATTGCTCCAACTGTATGTTGATTTGAAATCCAGTTACTAAGTTTCACATTTTTGTTTAGGGTATGTGATGGAAAATTTCAGACAAAAGCCGCCATGAAAAAAAACAAAAACCTCTGTTACAGAAGTGAAATGTTCCACTTCAAATGTTTAAAAGTAGCAACAAAAACAACATCAAACAATCAAAGGAGTTATAGATTTAGTTACATTTTTATATGTTGCCACTGGATCATTGCTATATAAATACATACACGTAATACTCCAGGTGAAGCAAATTTAAGCTAGCTTACACGTTTTTTGGCGAGGGGGACTTAAGATGTAACAATATCTCATATATGGTGGGGTTGTTATGCGCCTCTGCAACTTCTACTATTCTTGCAATACAAATTATAAACTCTGGTGCCTCCACTTTATAATGCTGTGAAGAAATATAAAATTATGATGGGATGAAGGGATGAAAGCCATCCAAGCCTACCTGGCTCTATGTGAAAAACTAATTGTCCCCACTTATTAAATCAGGAATCAACTTTGATCGACCACATTTTTGAAAACCTCAGTTCAGTGTCACCGAGTACTGCCAGTCAAGAAATCACTTAAATAGAAGCTGTCTGACAAAGAGAAGTAGGCTGAAAGCTCTCAGTCAATCATGCCACAATAGAAAGAAACAGCTGAGAAACAAAGTCATTGACATTGACACTTAGATTGTCCAATCACAGGCTCCTAGCACAACCTAGGTCTCGAATGAAGTCGAGAGGTGACCGGGCCTTTGCATCCGTGGCACCTAGACTCTGGAATAACCTCCCTGTTCATATTCGTACTGCCGAGTCTATCCAGTCTTTTAAATCACGTCTTAAAACTTTTTTTTTTACTTTGGCTTTTGATTCTGTCTAGTTGGCTGGTCTAGCTTGTTGTGTTGTTACCTATTGTTTGTTGTCCTGTTTTATTGTTTGTTTTAATTGTCTCATGCTTTTACTGACTGTGAAGCACTATGGTCAACACTGTTGTTTTAATATGTGCTATATAAATAAATTTTGATTTGATTTGATTTGATCCATCAGTCTGGAAGGGTTACAAAGCTATTTCTTAGGCTTGGAGAGACGTTGGGACAGTGGTGGACCTTCCCAGGAGTTGCCGGACTACCAGTTACTCCAAGAGCACATTGACAACATGGGGTGGGAAGTTGTAAGAATTTCTCCATTATTATTCCTTTATCAATATTACTTATTGATTAAATTCCTTACCAATTTTCTTATCAGTTGTCGTTGGGTTCTCATTGGCTCCACATTGACAATCACCACCAGAAGCAACATTTCAAAGACGTTTCATTCATCCAAATTGACTGCATGCTGTGTAGTCCAGTGTTTGCACATGTTGTGATCAGTGTTGGGGTTGTTACTCAAAAAAATTGAAGTTTTACACATATTATACAGAACACTTTTTGTGTAAGTAATGCAGTAATATTTCCAGGAGAAAATCATTTTTATATTATTCAATATGTTACTTTCATGTTTCTCCTTAAAATTATGTGAAAACATTGTCTCATAATTTCCATTTAACAATATAAACTTGAAGGCTCCAGTCTACATAAAAAAACATAAAACCATAAATTTCACACCCGAGCCTCAACTCTCGCGGCCCGCTACCAAACCGGTCCGTGGCTCGGGGGTTGGGGACCGCTGCTCTATGTTACCACTTTTTCATCGCTTTCCCCTTTCTCATTTATAGCCCATTAGCTGAAACCAGAGCACATCTTCATCCTGTCTTCATCTATTTATGCCCTCACCCCAACCAGTCAGGGCAGATGGCCACCCCTTCCTAAGCCTGGTTCTGCTGGAGGTTCCTTCCTGTTAAAAGGGAGTTTTTCCTTCCCACTGTCACCAAAGGGCTTGCTCATAGGGGGGGTCATATGATTGTTGTTTTTTTTCTCTGTTTTCTTTGTATTACTGTAGGGGCTTTACCTCACAATATAAAGCGCCTTGAGGTGACAGTTGTGATTTAGCACTAAATAAATAAAACTGAATTGAACTGAACTGAATTGAATAGCAGTTGTGCCAGTATGGTGTTGTTGTTGTTGAGACACACTTGAATGCAATCTTCCAGCGCTCTAGCTTTATTTTTGGGCCTTCATCTTGTGCTTGTTGCCGGTAGTTATATAAGAAGGCACCATATTAGGAGCCTGCATGATGATCGGTGCTGACGTTCGCTTTGTAGACTGGCTTTGACTGAAATTTAAAAATTAATGGATTAGTTAGGATTCAAATAATTACTGTAACATCAAAAGGCCAGGAAGAAATGTATGTTTTCTGAGATAAAGGAGTTGTGTGACTTGTAATAGCAGTTTATTTTTAGTGTTCATCATGTGATTGATTTCCTCAGATGAAGCTTCTGTCTGTAGAAGCAACCGCGTGGTTGAAAATAGCAGCTTCCGGGTAAGCGAGCTCCAACACATGACAAAATTTGACTGTTTCAGGAGCAGATAGTCCTCACGCTTACCCTTGGCTACAAGCTGCAGAGCATATGTTCACCATGTGTGTTTGCCGCTGGACTTCAGCCATCTGAGGGACACTCCGGAAGTCAGGATATCCCCACATGCCTACGAGAACATCCCTTACTCCTCCCACGCACCTCCACAGGTTTGGACCGGACGGCACCACCATCGGTGTTTCATTACTACACACAGCAAGAGGTCCTTGAGTATAGTGCACCTGCCATCTGCTCCTCCCAGGACAAAGCCGGTGACTCGTAACGTGTATGTTTATGTCAGAGAGGCGAAAGACACGGATCACGGTGTGTATCATAGCCACTGCTCGTGTTTTGAAGACTCAGCGGAAACAATAAAGGAAAAAAAAAAAGGAAAAACATTTTCTATGTCACAGTGACAGTGTTTTGATGCCGACATCTTGGCTTTTTGATACCGGAAGTGTAACAGAAAAGCCCCAAGAGCCACAGCTTAAGTTATCAAACTATATTTAGCTAGCTATATCCGTAAACTATAGGTGTGGGGTAAGTAACAGAAAATTGTGAGATAGAAATTCACTCACCTAAACTGCAGCAGAAACTTTGACTGGCGGACTGACCTCAATAGTTCATAGGCTCCAGTTAGCAGACAGATTAGCACATCTGTCAGTCAAACTAGCCACGCCTCTAACGTTAACATTAAAGTTAGAAATTCATTACGTTTAAAAATGGTGGGTATATCCAAAATAAAGTAAATACGGGGCCAGTGCTCTAAATACCAATACTTTTACACTGTAAAGGCAGTTTAAGGGGAGAGCAGTGTCACGACTCATGACTTATGAGATGAATCATCGTCAATTTGCAAATTCTTCACATGTTTAAATAATGACTAAATCGCTGTGATTTTTACTTTCTGCAACAATTACTTAACGCAACAAGCACACCTTTCAGCTCATCGTTTATTCTGAAACTGGGTTTTGTTTTTGAGACCTGGGTCATAAACAGGCCCGTCTCTAAAGAACTGGGTCAGCTTCTGTTGTTTAAATGTACTATAGGCTAGGGCTGTTCGATATAACGATATATATCGGATGACGATATAAAAACGTCTATCGTTTCATTTTACGCTATCGTTTGTTTCGT